TGACGTGTTTGTAGTGAGGCCGTTTTCTCATTGAGGCTGTTTTAACTAGTGACGTGTTTGTAGTGAGGCCGTTTTCTCATTGAGGCTGTTTTAACTAGTGACGTGTTTGTAGTGAGGCCGTTTTCTCATTGAGGCTGTTTTAACTAGTGACGTGTTTGTAGTGAGGCCGTTTTCTCATTGAGGCTGTTTTAACTAGTGACGTGTTTGTAGTAAGGTCGTTTTCTCATTGAGGCTGTTTTAACTAGTGACGTGTTTGTAGTAGGGCCGTTTTCTCATTGAGGCTGTTTTAACTAGTGACGTGTTTGTAGTAAGGTCGTTTTCTCATTGAGGCTGTTTTAACTAGTGACGTGTTTGTAGTGAGGCCGTTTTCTCATTGAGGCTGTTTTAACTAGTGACGTGTTTGTAGTGAGGCCGTTTTCTCATTGAGGCTGTTTTAACTAGTGACGTGTTTGTAGTAGGGCCGTTTTCTCATTGAGGCTGTTTTAACTAGTGACGTGTTTGTAGTAGGGCCGTTTTCTCATTGAGGCTGTTTTAACTAGTGACGTGTTTGTAGTAAGGCCGTTTTCTCATTGAGGCTGTTTTAACTAGTGACGTGTTTGTAGTGAGGCCGTTTTCTCATTGAGACTGTTTTAACTAGTGACGTGTTTGTAGTGAGGCCGTTTTCTCATTGAGGTTGTTTTAACTAGTGACGTGTTTGTAGTGAGGCCGTTTTCTCATTGAGGCTGTTTTAACTAGTGACGTGTTTGTAGTGAGGCCGTTTTCTCATTGAGGTTGTTTTAACTAGTGACGTGTTTGTAGCAGGGCCGTTTTCTCATTGAGGCTGTTTTAACTAGTGACGTGTTTGTAGTAGGGCCGTTTTCTCATTGAGGCTGTTTTAACTAGTGACGTGTTTGTAGTGAGGCCGTTTTCTCATTGAGGCTGTTTTAACTAGTGACGTGTTTGTAGTAGAGGCCGTTTTCTCATTGAGGCTGTTTTAACAGCTGTTTTAACTAGTGACGTGTTTGTAGTAGGGCCGTTTTCTCATTGAGGCTGTTTTAACTAGTGACGTGTTTGTAGTGAGGCCGTTTTCTCATTGAGGCTGTTTTAACTAGTTGACGTGTTTTTAGTGACGTGTTTGTAGTGAGGCCGTTTTCTCATTGAGGCTGTTTTAACTAGTGACGTGTTTGTAGTGAGGCCGTTTTCTCATTGAGACTGTTTTAACTAGTGACGTGTTTGTAGTGAGGCCGTTTTCTCATTGAGGCTGTTTTAACTAGTGACGTGTTTGTAGTAGGGCCGTTTTCTCATTGAGGCTGTTTTAACTAGTGACGTGTTTGTAGTAGGGCCGTTTTCTCATTGAGGCTGTTTTAACTAGTGACGTGTTTGTAGTGAGGCCGTTTTCTCATTGAGACTGTTTTAACTAGTGACGTGTTTGTAGTGAGGCCGTTTTCTCATTGAGGCTGTTTTAACTAGTGACGTGTTTGTAGTAGGGCCGTTTTCTCATTGAGGCTGTTTTAACTAGTGACGTGTTTGTAGTAGGGCCGTTTTCTCATTGAGGCTGTTTTAACTAGTGACGTGTTTGTAGTGAGGCCGTTTTCTCATTGAGGTTGTTTTAACTAGTGACGTGTTTGTAGTTGGGCCGTTTTCTCATTGAGGCTGTTTTAACTAGTGACGTGTTTGTAGTGAGGCCGTTTTCTCATTGAGGATGTTTTAACTAGTGACGTGTTTGTAGTGAGGCCGTTTTCTCATTGAGGCTGTTTTAACTAGTGACGTGTTTGTAGTGAGGCCGTTTTCTCATTGAGGCTGTTTTAACTAGTGACGTGTTTGTAGTGAGGCCGTTTTCTCATTGAGTCTGTTTTAACTAGTGACGTGTTTGTAGTGAGGCCGTTTTCTCATTGAGGTTGTTTTAACTAGTGACGTGTTTGTAGTGAGGCCGTTTTCTCATTGAGGCTGTTTTAACTAGTGACGTGTTTGTAGTGAGGCCGTTTTCTCATTGAGGCTGTTTTAACTAGTGACGTGTTTGTAGTGAGGCCGTTTTCTCATTGAGGCTGTTTTAACTAGTGACGTGTTTGTAGTAGGGCCGTTTTCTCATTGAGGCTGTTTTAACTAGTGACGTGTTTGTAGTGAGGCCGTTTTCTCATTGAGGCTGTTTTAACTAGTGACGTGTTTGTAGTAGGGCCGTTTTCTCATTGAGGCTGTTTTAACTAGTGACGTGTTTGTAGTGAGGCTGTTTTCTCATTGAGGCTGTTTTAACTAGTGACGTGTTTGTAGTGAGCTGTTTTAACTAGTGACGTGTTTGTAGTGAGGCCGCCTGTTTTGAACTGTTTTAACTGGTGACGTGTTTGTAGTGAGGCCGTTTTCTCATTGAGGCTGTTTTAACTAGTGACGTGTTTGTAGTAGGGCCGTTTTCTCATTGAGGCTGTTTTAACTAGTGACGTGTTTGTAGTGAGGCCGTTTTCTCATTGAGGCTGTTTTAACTAGTGACGTGTTTGTAGTGAGGCCGTTTTCTCATTGAGGCTGTTTTAACTAGTGACGTGTTTGTAGTGAGGCCGTTTTCTCATTGAGGCTGTTTTAACTAGTGACGTGTTTGTAGTGAGGCCGTTTTCTCATTGAGGCTGTTTTAACTAGTGACGTGTTTGTAGTGAGGCCGTTTTCTCATTGAGGCTGTTTTAACTAGTGACGTGTTTGTAGTAGGGCCGTTTTCTCATTGAGGCTGTTTTAACTAGTGACGTGTTTGTAGTAGGGTCGTTTTCTCATTGAGGCTGTTTTAACTAGTGACGTGTTTGTAGTAGGGCCGTTTTCTCATTGAGGCTGTTTTAACTAGTGACGTGTTTGTAGTGAGGCCGTTTTCTCATTGAGGCTGTTTTAACTAGTGACGTGTTTGTAGTGAGGCCGTTTTCTCATTGAGACTGTTTTAACTAGTGACGTGTTTGTAGTGAGGCCGTTTTCTCATTGAGGCTGTTTTAACTAGTGACGTGTTTGTAGTGAGGCCGTTTTCTCATTGAGGCTGTTTTAACTAGTGACGTGTTTGTAGTGAGGCCGTTTTCTCATTGAGGCTGTTTTAACTAGTGACGTGTTTGTAGTGAGGCCGTTTTCTCATTGAGACTGTTTTAACTAGTGACGTGTTTGTAGTGAGGCCGTTTTCTCATTGAGGTTGTTTTAATCAGTGACGTGTTTGTAGTAGGACCGTTTTCTCATTGAGGCTGTTTTAACTAGTGACGTGTTTGTAGTGAGGCCGTTTTCTCATTGAGGCTGTTTTAACTAGTGACGTGTTTGTAGTGAGGCCGTTTTCTCATTGAGGCTGTTTTAACTAGTGACGTGTTTGTAGTAGGGCCGTTTTCTCATTGAGACTGTTTTAACTAGTGACGTGTTTGTAGTAGGGCCGTTTTCTCATTGAGGTTGTTTTAACTAGTGACGTGTTTGTAGTGAGGCCGTTTTCTCATTGAGGCTGTTTTAACTAGTGACGTGTTTGTAGTAGGGCCGTTTTCTCATTGAGGCTGTTTTAACTAGTGACGTGTTTGTAGTGAGGCCGTTTTCTCATTGAGGCTGTTTTAACTAGTGACGTGTTTGTAGTGAGGCCGTTTTCTCATTGAGGCTGTTTTAACTAGTGACGTGTTTGTAGTGAGGCCGTTTTCTCATTGAGGCTGTTTTAACTAGTGACGTGTTTGTAGTGAGGCCGTTTTCTCATTGAGGCTGTTTTAACTAGTGACGTGTTTGTAGTGAGGCCGTTTTCTCATTGAGGCTGTTTTAACTAGTGACGTGTTTGTAGTGAGGCCGTTTTCTCATTGAGGCTGTTTTAACTAGTGACGTGTTTGTAGTGAGGCCGTTTTCTCATTGAGGCTGTTTTAACTAGTGACGTGTTTGTAGTGTGGCCGTTTTCTCATTGAGGCTGTTTTTAGTCCGTTTTCTCATTGAGGCTGTTTTAACTAGTGACGTGTTTGTAGTGAGGCCGTTTTCTCATTGAGGCTGTTTTAACTAGTGACGTGTTTGTAGTGAGGCCGTTTTTTCATTGAGGCTGTTTTAACTAGTGACATTGAGGCTGTTTTAACTAGTGACGTGTTTGTAGTAGTGCCGTTTTCTCATTGAGGCTGTTTTAACTAGTGACGTGTTTGTAGTGAGGCCGTTTTCTCATTGAGACTGTTTTAACTAGTGACGTGTTTGTAGTGAGGCCGTTTTCTCATTGAGACTGTTTTAATCAGTGACGTGTTTGTAGTAGGGCCGTTTTCTCATTGAGGCTGTTTTAACTAGTGACGTGTTTGTAGTGAGGCCGTTTTCTCATTGAGGTTGTTTTAACTAGTGACGTGTTTGTAGTAGGGCCGTTTTCTCATTGAGGCTGTTTTAACTAGTGACGTGTTTGTAGCAGGGCCGTTTTCTCATTGAGGCTGTTTTAACTAGTGACGTGTTTGTAGTGAGGCCGTTTTCTCATTGAGACTGTTTTAACTAGTGACGTGTTTGTAGTAGGGCCATTTTCTCATTGAGGCTGTTTTAACTAGTGACTTGTTTGTAGTGAGGCCGTTTTCTCATTGAGACTGTTTTAACTAGTGACGTGTTTGTAGTGAGGCCGTTTTCTCATTGAGGCTGTTTTAACTAGTGACGTGTTTGTAGTAGGGCCGTTTTCTCATTGAGGCTGTTTTAACTAGTGACGTGTTTGTAGTAGGGCCGTTTTCTCATTGAGGCTGTTTTAACTAGTGACGTGTTTGTAGTAGGGCCGTTTTCTCATTGAGGCTGTTTTAACTAGTGACGTGTTTGTAGTGAGGCCGTTTTCTCATTGAGACTGTTTTAACTAGTGACGTGCGACCTGCTTGGATTTATTGCACCCGTTGTGTGTCAAGGCAGGATTCTGATGAGAAATCTCGTTTGTAAAACTGTTGATTGGGATGCACCATTATCAGAGGATAATCGTGACAGATGGGAATAATGGTCTTTACGTGATTTAAACTCTATTTCAATCCCACGAACATACATACCATGTTCTTTGTCAAATGTTGATAAAAAATGTATTAATGTGTTTTGTGACGCTTCAGAGAAGGCAATGTCATCAGTGGCTTATGTGAGAGCAGAAGGAAATGTTTCTGTTGGATTTGTACTAAGAGTAAAGTTGCACCTAAACATGGACACACAATCCCTCGTTTAGAATTGTGTGCTGCAGTTACAGCAGTTGAATTAGCAGAAGCTGTATCTGATGCGTTGGAATTTGCGCTACAGGAAATAAAGTTTTATTCTGACAGTAAAGTGGTGCTGGGATACATTCAAAATCGAGTTCGAAGATTTTCTGTATATGTAGATAATAGAGTTGCTAGAATACTTAAGAACGCCTCCAGTGAACAGTGGTTTTATGTGAGAACCGATCAAGGAACTCGCCAAATTTCAGCACGCAGCTTGAAAAATAGCACGTGGTTACAGGGACCATCATTTCTACGTCAGAAAGAAGTAGAGAGCTTTGATTTTGTTGAAGATCCAGAGACTGATGCATCAGAAATGTATGCAATGAAATGTACTGTAATGTTAACACATTCCTTAGGAACAGAACGTTTCCAGCGTTTTTCGCAATGGAGCAGTTTAGTGAAAGCCATCATGAATTTGAAGCTTTTTGTTAGACATTCAGTAACTCAGTGTGAGAAAGTTGTCTCAGTACAGGACTATCTGAATGCTGAAAGATTCGTTATTAAACAAGTGCAGCAGGAATCTTTTTCTGAAGATATATCATGTTTCCAAGACAAGAAACCATTGCCAAGGAACAGCAGTATTTTGTCATTAAATCCCTTTCTAGATAAGGATGGACTGTTAAAAGTTGGAGGACGTCTTAATAGAGCTGATTTGGATAAGTCAGAAATGCATCCATGGATTCTACCTCAGAAACATCATGTTTCAACACTTATTGTAAGACATTTTCATAATATTGTGAAGCACCAAGGTCGCAACAGAACTGAAGGCGCGGTCAGATCTGGAGACTACTGGATTATAGGAAGTAAACGCCTGATAGCTTCAGTTATTCACAGTTGTGTTAAATGCAGGAAATTGAGAGGTAAAGAATTGCATCAAATCATGTCAGAATTGCCGAAAGACAGAGTGATCCCTAGTTCCCCTTTTACTTCAGTTGGAGTGGATGTTTTTGGTCCATGGCAAGTTATTGAAAGGCAAACTCGAGGAGGGTTAGCCAACAGTAAGAGATGGGGAGTTTTGTACACTTGTTTAGCGTCGCGTGCAATTCACATTGAAATTGAGGAGGAAATGACAACATCAGCTTTCATTAATGCAACGAGGAGATTTATGGCTATTCGAGGAAAATCAAGTGAATTTAGGTAGTAATTTCATTGGTACCACTGATTTGATGAAGATTGATGTGATAAATGTGGAAGATGGTCCATTGAAGAAGATTCTATTTAATAGTGGGCCTGTATGGTGTTTCAACTCTCTCCATTCATCCCACATGGGAGGTGTGTGGGAGCGTCTGATTGGTATAGTAAGACGTGTACTTGAAAGCGTAATGTCAGGAGTGTTTGCGAAGAATCTTGCACATGATGTGTTAGTTACATTCATGGCAGTGTTCACAGCCACAGTAAACTCTAGATCGTTGACAAATGATCCAGAGAACCCCATGATTTTAACTCCTAATATGTTGCTGACACAGAAATCTGCAGATAATTGTGAGTTCACAGGAGATATTAATGTGCAACACATGTATAAAGCACAATGGAAGAATGTTCAGGCTTTAGAAAATACATTCTGGAAAAGATGGAAAGCAGAATATTTACAATCTCTTCAGAGCAGAAGCAAGTGGGTTTATCACCAGCGTGATTTGTGTGTTGGAGATATTGTTTTTGTGAAGGAAGCTGTGTCACTACGAAATGATTGGCCCATGGGAATTGTGAGAGAAGTTTACTCGAGTGCGGATGGACATGTTAGGAAGGTTTCTGTGAAAGTGTGTTTGAAGGGACAAAAATCTGTAAAATGTACACACGACCTACTACGGAACTTATTTTGCTGCAGGAGACAGGTTAAATTATTCTTAATAAGTATATGTAGTTATATATATCATATCATGCGGGGAGTATTATGTTATCCTCATAATTAACAGAGATTTAATGCATAATTACGAAATTCAAGATTGTTAAGTGCAAGATTGATCTAATAACTCTGAGTTGATAGTTCCAGTGGTATTTAGCTGAATCACTGTTTAGTGAAAGTTTTGTCAGTAACTTAGTAAGAGGTATCTCCCTTGGACCACTATCTGGACTAAGACCACAATTAAATACTTCCGGGTTGAGTACCCACGAATAAAGTCCCTAAAAAATGTATGTGTGTAAATCATTCATATTGAACATGTATTTTGTGCTGCAGGATCCGGTGTAAAAAGTCCTGTTTTCACCTTTACCCCTGACCCGGATGTATATAATTGACGTTGGTGACACACATGGAGGTATATCTCCAGAAAATGCCCAACATGATGGGTTGAAACTTTTACATTTTGCTTCTCAGATGTTGATCTTGGCCAGGTGAAATGGAAATTTGCAGATGAAACTTTGGGACTTAGTTATGAATTTTAATGTTACAATGAAACATATAGTTTAATTGTGGTCTTAGTCCTTAAGAGTTTGGTCCAGGTAGTTTGTAATTGTAGTATAAAGTTATCGTTCTTGTTTTTTTATTAGAACTCTTCTGTGTAGAAGATAGTTAAATGTGTATCATTGTGTTTATTAGAAAAATCGCCACGCTAGTTGTAAATCGTAGTCGCGCATCGCAGTCGTATACTTGATGATTAATTGAACTGTCTTGAATCGCCAAATTGTTTGTGTTGAACCAAAGTGTAAGTGTAGTTTCTTTGGGTTGTAGCATGTTTATTTGTTGCTGTATTATCGTAAGTTTAGTGCATGAAGTGGTTATTTTTCCATACTCGAGCTCAGCAGACAACTTGTTTTATATGTTGTGAAATCGTAGAATAAGTGTAATTACAGTAAATTATGAGCGATTTTGTTTATATATAATGATGCTATTAATAGTTTACGTAAATTGAGCAATTTTGAAACTGGATGGATTTCGCAGTGAAAATTCTGAATTATTCATGTATTAATCATATGAACTATACGTTTGAAAAGTTGAATCAGGTTTTTTCAAATTTATATCAATAATAGTTATGAATAATTACATATCCGGATATATATCTGTTTTGAAAATTCATAATTTACTGGCCAATCAGAGGCAGCCAAACCTTTTCTGAGGTTCAATCTTCTACACAGGGGTAATTTCAAAAGTCTGTTTTTCAATTAGTTGGTTGTTCCCTTTTATATCTTCTACACAGAGGTCATTTCAAAGGTCTGTTTTTCAGTTAGTTGGTTGTTCCCTTTTATATCTTCTACACAGGGGTCATTTCAAAAGTCTGTTTTTCAGTTAGTTGGTTGTTCCCTTTTATATCTTCTACACAGGGGTCATTTCAAAGGTCTGTTTTTCAGTTAGTTGGTTGTTCCCTTTTATATCTTCTATACATGGGTAATTTCAAAAGTCTGTTTTTCAGTTAGTTGGTTGTTCCCCTTTATCTAAACTTTTATTTTTGGATATTGTCTGCCATGACACTCCCTGAGTTTTGGCTTTAGTTGAGTGTTCGCCCTCCTCAGGAAGTCTGAGTTCCCCTGACCTAAGTGTACCAGAATCTAGAGAAATGGTGGTAACTACTTTCTGTATCATTCCTTTATACCCTTCAAAATGAAGATTCATAAAGTTCATATGTACCATTGATTAACGCAAATTAAGTTGAGTATAATAACATCGTCAATTAGAAAATACATGTGTATATATACGATGATACTAGCGAATTTGTTATCTTTAAGTACAAGTATCAATTGACAAGGTTAGTGTACTTGCACTTTGTATAGCATGACATAATAGACGTTCATTATAACATACATTGTGTCCAAGTAACGGACTATCTGTAGTACAATCTGAGGATTTTATCGATGAAAATTGAACAACGTGAAACAACCATTTCGTAATCATTTTGGTCCATTCTGCAGTTAGGGGCACCTTAATGCAGTATATGAATTATATCAAAGTTGCCCTCGGCAGTATACTACAGGGATCGTTTAAAAAGTCTGTCTTACAGTAGGTTTGTTGTTCCCTTTATTGCTAAGCATTATGTATATGTCTAATCAACAGGATATGGACCCGGATGTAAATACACACCGATATTTTGTAAAGGACATTTACAACAACTTTTCCAATACTGAGCGACTGGGCTGTTCAAAATGGCTAGATTTATTAACATATCTGTTAGGATTTCAGACCGAGTGTCTCGCCTTGTATTATAAATGAAGTAGGCCCAGATTCTTTGTAACGTTAATAAGTTCATTATTATTATTTATGCATGTAAGCTCTTCAGAAACACGGTTATTCTTCGTATTAACACTTGGACGGTATTCACAATATGACGTCATATCTCAACGCTGATTGGCTGATGCAGTTTCAGCGACAAGTATAAAATCCAATAGGATCTCAAACATCCGATTGAATATTGATAAGGTATCTGAATGATCTAGACTATTTAGATAGAATTTAGTACCTGAATTAAAACTAAGAACCAAACTTTGATGAAGAGCTATAATAAAAATAATAATAATAATAATAATAATAATAATAATAGTAATAATAATAATAATAATAATAGTGTATACTTTGTCATAAAGACTAAAACTAGTGAATATATAGCACAAAGCTAGCTAATGTAACATACACCCACAAAGCTAGCTAATGTAACATACACCCACACACCACTAGATATATAGTCAGGGACACTACTTAAAAGTGACGATATGTATTTTAACACAAATAAATATTATCACCTAACACATAACCAGATCCGTCGGATAAATAGGGAGACTAAACTCGGGTCGGTTTCTACTGATCCGGCCACAGGTGATGCATACTGCCTCTGGGAGTCTTCTCCTCTGTTCCCTCGCCTAAGTGGCACTAACAGAAAAAATATCTAAACGACACGCATCAAAACAAAGACTACGATATCATAAGACTGTTTTGTTTTAAAAAAAAACACCACAATTTATACATACCACCAAAACAGTACCTCGCTTATACATTATTACATATTTTCATCAACAGAAATATTCACCAGACTGTATCCACGACTATATTCGGTATAGATCAGGATAGTCCTCTTGGTCGAATGGGAATTTACTGATCATTCTGTTGACTTGGAGGTCTTGGTCAGTGGTATATGGACTCACTACACGTAGGTAAGGCAAACGGAGATAATTGTAATAGGTTGATGAAATTATTACTCTCTCTCTCTGCTCTTACACATTTATCCTTAGTATGTTACAATGACTGTCACATTCATACGCCCTAACAAAAACGGAAGTATAATGCGTGCTAATGACAACAATGGGAAACCAGCAGCAAAAGTCATCAACACAACGAGTCATTGTCACAGTCGTCTTTCATCGACGATTCTGTGATGATAAAATGTTCTTACACTTTTTGCAAATGCACATTTGGCCTAGGACTACAACGATAAAAGATGATGCTGTTAAGCAGAAAAACACAGCAAAAGAATTCTCATTCCTCAGACGTTCGTCTGATGCAAGAGGTAACGCAAGCCACACACTTAACTTGGAGTAGAATTCTCCTTTGAAGTAAGACAGCAGAGAAATAATGGGAATGATTGTGAAAGCTATAATCAAAAGTAATACTGGGACAAGTAATAACTGTTTCCAAGACATCGAGAAAAACGAGAAAATGGGAACAGGATCGCATATGTCTGTCTATTGTAACCATTAGAATAAGAAATAGCGACATTTCATTTGATGATACACCAGCAGTGGAACACAGATATACCGTTTCTCATTTCCGGTCATTTCGAGCATATATGTCAATGTAATGTACATCAGCACTACCTACTATAAGTAGGTAGATACTCAATAGTAAATGAGAGCTATAGATGAAGGTTAGAAGTTCTAGACCTAGTGAGGATGTGAAGTGCTTGAGACCACGAATGTTACATGGGGAATACACAGCTTCCAAAACGTACGCCAAGTAGAAATGCTTGTTATTCCTTCATCTGTTTCAATCCCGGAGCCAAGGATTCATGTACATAATTAATAACAATGGTAGCACAAAAATAGATTTACCGATAGAAAAATTAAAATAATATTAAGAAATTATATCATACATTCATGAAAACTTCTTACGGCACAATGATTGGTGCTAAATGTTAGAACATTGATCCTACTAGATGGACAACTGATTTGTAAAATCAAAGAAAATAATCGATATTTTCTCGGAAATGCCAACCTTTTCCA